ATGGATGGAAATGGATGGATGGAAATGGATGGATGGAAATGGATGGACGGAAATGGATGGATGGAAATGGATGGATGGAAATGGATGGATGGATGGATGGATGGGATGGGATGGGATGGGATGAGATGGGATGGATGTATGGATGTTTTATGGTGATTATGCCATGGCCCTTGTTGATTCACAAGAAAAAGACTGGCATTCACTGCAAACAGACCCAGCTCGAGTGTTTTCAGTATAGTGGCCGTTTCCACACCCGCACTAGATCAAGGCTTCTTCGTGGTCGCAAAGCAAACATCTGACAGCACTATGCTGAGCTTCTGTGTGCGATGGGTGTCCCAAGAGCGAGGTAGTGGGAAACAGTCAGAGCAGGAGCTTACTGCGTGAGCTTTCCTGAATAGTGCGAACGCTTCTTCAACGAAGCCCCAGCTATGTAGTAGCTGAAGTAGCCAGTAGCGAACTTCTCCCTTACTCACAGGAATTAAGTAGGCGCCGGCCTACTTAATTATATAAGAGTATATAAGAGTATATAAGTAGGAGCGAAGAAAACAAAGGTATGCATGGCACCTGAAAGCCGACACCAAAAATCGGAGCCAATTTGGGAAAGCAACGTTACCCCGAAACATGCGTGCCCACGATATTTACAATGTCTGCCACTGTCGGCCATGTTATTTTGCTACACCATGCTACACCAGAATCAGAAAAGGCCTCAGCCTTCGCACTACAATGGCTTGGCTGGCCTGTTGACACCTTTGTTGGTCGACAGGGGATACATCACAAGCCAGTTCTAACCACACAGCAACAATGCAGCTTGTAGAGTGAAGGCACCAACTTTGCGCAAGGCACAAAGATGTTGATGCAAAATGGATTTGGGCTCGGCTTTAGATTTTGCGGAAACAAGGGAACAAGTGTTGTATCCTTTGTGCACTAGTTGGTTCCACAAACACACTCCAGGCACGGACCGGACGCACTCTTAGGACAAACGGTCTCTGCCTAACACCTGCCAAAGGACAGTTATTGTATATAATGTTATATACCCGCTCTGCACAATTTGAAAACTTCAAGCTCAGGCTCCATCCCAACTTCCGCACCATGGATCAGAACCCACCCATCCTCTGAATCAAATCACCAATAGCCAATTGCTAAGTGGCAAAGCGCCAAGCATGAAGCAAACCATCACACACGTCAACTCAGTCCGGCTTGTCAGGGGCTTCTGCAAAGCCACACTTTGGACTGAGCCGGAGCCACCCTGGAATGTCACACTTCTCTCTGATAACAAAACGCAAACTGCGCGTGCCTGCGATAGGCCATCCCTGGATATGGTGACCTTGTTTTACAACTCCCAAAGTCCTCAAAGTGTTTACAGTAACTGTTTGGCTCAGGCAAATCAAAGACCTTTGTCCCCAAACCTCTTCACCAGTCCTCCCCTTTACACTAGCTCGATCTCGTACAAAGACCATAGAGTGAAGAACCTTAGGTCGTGGAAGGGCAAAGTCCTTCAAATCGAAGCTGAAGGCTCTAAGGTGCTGACAACGAATGTCTTGGGGGGTCCATGTTGATCGACTTGGAATTTTGCGAAGTTCGGTTGTTCTTCCAAAGTGCTCGTGCTCTTGACACTTTTTGGAGCTTTGGCCATCTGCGGATCAACCTTCTCATGTGCTTCAAACGATTTGCCACACCTTACACAAATAGCCGTTGTGACCAAATTGTTGGCATTGGCACCCACAAATGCCATCGCATCCAGGTCCGCAACGTACCCTCGACACTGGCTGCTTGCACACCCACCTCTCATTCCTCCGAAAGGATCGATCTTACGAGCAGTTTCTCGCTCATCTTCTTCTGGAATTGGACTTCCCGTTGTAAAATCTTTCCAGGGCCCCAGCAATCTAAAATCTGCTTCACCCGCACTTTGAGCCGCAACCCGCACACCAGCACGTAACTGCACTGCAGCACCCGCTGGCAATCCATGTAAAATTGCACCTTAGCCAATGTGTGTGAGGCAAACATGATACCAAATGCAAATGTGCCACAATGCTTTCAGTCTGGCATTGCTGGACCCGTCATGTCACCACAAACTATATACTGTGGGTATCCGTGTGGTCATGAATATGTAATAATATGTAGACATATACAGCGAGAGAGGGAGAGGGGGGTAAAAAGCTGCGCCGAACTGAAATAGCTCAGTCTGGGAAATGAAATGATGTGCAGGAACAAAATAATGAACTTGCCTGCTGTGATTGTAGGATGACAGCACCAGCACTCATATCAAGAATGAGAAGCTAAGCTAGGCACATGGTTTGAGACTCAAAGCATAGCCTGACTTCTTCAAGCTGTCCCCGTCTTGTCCGATTGGAAGCTCTTCACCAGGAGTAAGTCGCCACTCGATTCTGTAAGCAGCAACGTATGGACTGCGAGCCCTGAGCCCGTGCCAACTCACTTCAAGGGCTTCACTGAAAACTTTCTCTGCTTTCAGATTAGACCATTTGGGACTCAAGAATACTTCTTTGGCTGACTTGATAGGAGCCCATTTCTCAGGCTGCTTTGCTAAGCGTAGCCATGACAAGTTTCCAGGGAATCCACAAATTGAGGCTGTGCTTTCAAGTTCTTCTATCCGTTCTGAAGCAGCACAGGGTTCGCTGTAGAGTGGCAATTTTGGTGAAAGCACCAAGTATTCTACAGGCTCCACAACTTGCTCTGCCATCGTTGATGCATGCTTGATGGCGCTCACCTTTGTAGACTTGACTTTCTCGGTCTCTATGATCTGCTTGGATTCTTTCGACTCTTCTCTTTGGTTTGATTCTTTCGACTTGCACTTGTTCGGTTTGGGCTCTTGTGGCTCTTCTTCGTTCGTCTCTTTAGTGCGAATACCCTTCTCCAAGCACCGCTCTTTCCGATCCTCAGCGTTGGCGCTGTCCTCGTCTTCTTTTGTGTGTGCGTCATCTTCTGTTGCCATTGCTGCATTCTCTGGATCTATGGAGTCTCTCGGCTCTAGCAACCTACCCAAGCCAATCTCGCTACCATCGACAAGCACCCAAGCAGCTTCTTTGCTTTCAAGTTCGCTTCTATCCAATTGTAGCCAAAGTCCTGCACTTTCAAGTCTGCCACGGACCTGCTTCGAAAAGGCCAGGTGTCCAAGAGTCCGAGCTTCCTGGCTTGGGGCCTCACGGATTAGTACACCACCGTGGTGAACCACGGTCCACATCGAGAAACCGCTGAACCCAGTGCTGTCTGAGCTCGGACTCTGTGGGGTCTGTGCTTCGAGCGGAGTGGCAATAGCCGCGGCAGCACGAGTGGCTTCAGATGGAGCAGGAACAAAGGATTCCGCGGCAGGAATCGGCTCTTCCAGTGGAACATGCGAACTTTCACATGTGCTGGCAGCTTGCAGTTGTGGCGCCTCCTCGATTTCAAGTGTCTGCCAGTCACCCGGCACTTCTACTGTATCCGCAGTATTGATGTAGGCGCCTCGGGTGCAAAACACTTAGAAAGACTTACAGCAAGCAAGGGTTGACATCTTCAGACCTGTCCCCAAGGGTGTCATTTTGCTTTGTTTTTTCTTTTGGCCCGCTCCCCGTACAAGTAGTAGCGATGGCCTCCAGCCTAGAAGCCATGGCCTCCATCCTATTAGCAATGGCCTCCAACCTACTAGCGATGGCCTCCAACTCCAACCCATGTACAACCAGTCTGCTGGACCGTTGAGGCCGGAGCAAACCCTCAAGTGAACTCTATCTTGCTCTCGAAGCAGCAATGTACACTCCTGGGCAACACACAAAGCAACAAAACAGAATGGAAGGATTTCTGATGCTGCATTCGGAATTGGTACTGTTCAGGTTTGATTGAGTCTCTTCTTTAGCGGTTCTTTCCTTCAAGGACATAGGGGTTTCTTGGTGGACTTCCCCATGTCCACCCCCATAATCAGCCCTAAGCATGGGAAGCTCGTGAAAATCAAACGATACATGTACTGAATTGCTCAGCGCACAAGCTTCCGTAGAGGATCCCAAACCACAACCTCTGCTCTTCGATCCATCCCATTCAAGGCAATAAATCACAGGGTGACTCTGTGGCAAGCCTGGCCAACAAACCTTCAAAGTGCCTGAGGGAAGTCTTGAGACTTGTAGTTGGCACCAGTTCGCACGAAGAGATCCATCCAATGGATGCTGGAAGACCCAGTGCGACACGAAGTCCAGCCCGTTGCTTGGCGCCAGGCGAATCCAGTGCTGGGCAGGGAATCCTGTCACACTTACTCCAGGCGGAAGTCTTGAATCTTCAAGAATGGATGACCTGGAAGGTCTAGAGTACAAAGGCAGTGTCTGGAAAGTTTGGTAGGCGATGCCACCAACTGCTTGTTGAGCGCGCAAAGCTGCTCTCTCACTCTGCTCTAGATCACAGGAAACATTCTCTCCTCTGCGTTCTAGATTCCAGAGCCAAACCCACTTGTTGGAGTCGGTGTCAGTTTCTCTCGGCTCGCATAAATTCAGCCAGTCGTTGTGCAAGCCTGGACCAAACATTGAGGGAGTAGCGTCCTTGCTCCTAGTAGTGATGCCCTCTGTTACTAGTAGCGATGCCAGGAGCTAGTAGTAGCTTCTTGTTACTAGTAGCGATGCCGAATCTAGTGAATCTAGTGCAAGCAGAGTGCGGCCGCTCACAGCTGCGCCCAGTTCCAGATTGCCTCAAATTTGGAGGAAGGGACGTTTGAGAAGGACCACACTACAACAGATTGGAAGTCCCCGCCTATGGAGGGCGCAAAAAATGACGGCGCAGAACGAATTTCTGTCGCAGTTGCAACAAGAAATTCCTGAGAACAGTGGATTGTCCATTTCCATGCTGGATAGTTTCTTTACTTGAAAGTCAAGAAGGCACCTCCACAGTCGCAAGAGTCTCAGCTGGTTCTTTGGCCTGGTCAGTTGCGTTGACTGCTGTAGCTGCCATACACATGGCTTTGACGTGATTGGGCTGCGTCAGCGCCCAAGCCTCCTCTACATCCTCTTCTCCTAGTTTGTCAAGCAGCGGCAAACAGCACTACAATCAATCCAAATCGTACCTTCATCTGCATGTAGGAAGTCTTCCCAAGCATGCTCAGCATCAGCATGTTCACAAGGACCCTGGAAATGATCTAAATCGGGCATGACATAAGCGCGATGCCTGGCAAAGAATTTCTTCAGCTCGTTTAGTATGCCTGCAAGCCCTCCACATGGTCGAGGTCTTCGGAGGCCTTCTGCTGGCGTGCAACTGTTTGGAGCAGATATCTGTTGACTGCTGCTAAGACACTCTATCTGACTGTCCGTCTGCATCGGGACCCTCCTTTTCATCCTGTTGCACTCATCCATCCAGGTCTAGCAGTCCAGCATACAGCATGCCCTCAAAGCAAAAGAACTCCGAGTGTCTCCTCTGTAGGGCTTTCAGCGATGCTGGCAGTACCGCTCTTTTCATCGGCTTCTTCAAGTTCCTCAAGGAAAAGAGTGCTCACGTGGCTCAAGTCAGAGAAGCCAGTTGACCATGCAAAGCCTACATGCGTTATCTCAAGCTGAGTTAAGCTTCGCTGGGTTCTTTCTCAGTTGCTTCACCTGTTCAGGCGTAGGAGCAACACAGCCACACTCCTAATTTTGTATTAAAGCACGCGTGCCTTGCGTCTGGTTTACAGGCTCTGAAGGTGCCTCCTGTTCAATCCACTTGAAGCGACAAAGAAATCGAAGATGGACAGGTGGGCAGAAAGGTTCAGTCGAAAGCCTGCAGCCTAAAGCCAAAACCTCAACTTCACCAAAATTCTCACAACCGCTTCGACCATGAAAAAAGTCGTTCAAAGAAGCTTCTCCCTCCCTCAGGTGGGAGAAGTAAACTGAGCTCTCTTGCGTCCTTGCATCTAATAGCTTTCTTGCTACCTTTACAATATATAATATATAATATATACACATACTGCTAGGCTGCTAGACTACTTAGCTATTTCCGGATATTTCCGGCCACCCTTCTCTCACTTCACGGCCTAACGTCCTACCCTACCCCAAAAACAGCAAATTTGAAGGAAATCGAACTCCTCAGCCTTTGCTGCATCTTCCTCGAGCTCCAAATGCTCCTCCAAACTTGAAGACCAAACACTGTGTATGCGTAGAGTCTGAGGCACTCATACCTCGCATTGTATATGATCCGAAGTGCAACAAATCGGAACTACTCAGACATATCTACTGTGGGTGTTTGGGTATCATTGCAAACGTTGGAATGTTCTAGATTTGACCTAGTAGGCCTAGGCTGGGTCTGCTCCTCATAGGAGTTGCCACATCGGCGGCAACGCTCAGCATGTGCGGAATGCAAAGGTGCAGCCATGAATCCTGCTTGGAGGGAGCAGCGACAACAACTTCACAACCCAAAAAGCCAAATGTTATGAATGCCAAATGTTCTGCAAGTACAAACTGCAAAGCGGGCCTCTGCAAAATGACAACAAGCAGCCACCCCTGTATCCTGCCGGTGGGATAGTCCCAATCCCGTTTCTGCAAAACACAATGTACCAATATAGTCGGGAATTGAGGATCCTCCCAATAAATCGCGATCTCCAAGAGCCTGGCATGAACATGCTGCACACCAGATCTTGTCATGCCGTTTGCTGTGCGATCTCTGACCTCAATGTCTTCATTGGGCGATGGAGACCCAGTTTGGAGCTGAGTCCTTCAATCAAAACAAACAGCATCTTTCTGAATGAGCTAGTTTGCAATGTGCCACCTTCAGGTAATCATATGTGAAAGTGCAATGGGACGGTCCAAGAACCCGCAATTTCAATTTCATTGAAGTCAATCTCAGGGCCAGTGACTCCAGCAATGACCCGCACCTTGCAACACTATCAGTTAGGTAGCAAACGTGTTCGTGATTTTCAGACAGGGTGTCACAAACACATGCCATTTCGTCTGTACAAAAATGGATGCCTCAATGGTTGACTGTTGGGGCAGACCATGCAACAAAGCCCGCGAAGATGTACACCTGGGTCAACCATGATCATCATAAGCCAATGCTTTGCTCCCATGAAATCTCTGGTTCCCCTGAATCAGCACATTCGGCGCCCGGCTCAATTGCACCAGATTTCCTCTCATCCTGGTTCAACGCATGGAAAAGCGATGCTGGCAAGGGATTTGAAATCTCTTTTGCTCCTCGGGACGGTTGCTTCCATCTGCCGTTGGTCCCTGAAAAGTTCATGGTAGCGGGCAACTTGAGCAGCTTCGAAAACCCCTATTACTTTTTTGTATAATCCAGGTTTGCTTTCGCAGAGCTTTCGCGGCCTGCATTCTGGCTTTCGCGGAAGGTGTGGTGTTATGTGGGGCTTTCGCGGCGGCTTTCGCGGCGATTCGTTTTCGATTGGGAAATTCGATTGGGATATTGTACAATAAAGTGATTGATCTACATAAGTTATCCGATATAAGTGTCCTTAGGGTGGTCAAAGCTGAAAAAAATCTTTCCGGCAACATCCTGGCACAAGGAGTTGTAGCAGCACCGTTCAAGTATTATTTTTGTCATCAGAAGAGGAGGAAAACTTGCTGAAACTTTTTGCTGGGGCCAGATACCTTTCCCGGATATTTTCAACTTGAGCGGTTCTTTCGCGAGGCTTTCGCTGAAATTCGTCTGGGCTTTTCGATTTTCCCCTGAAACACTTGCTCTTCAGTGCTGCTGCTGCTGCTGCTGCTGCTGCTGCTGCTGGTGGCTGGTCTGCTGCGGCTGGCTGGTCTGCTGCGGCTGGCTGGCTGGCTGGCTGGCTGGCTGGCCTGCTGCGGCTGCCTGCATAAAAATACGGTCACCCACATAAACAACACGACATGCACAAGAAATTCGACTTTCGCGAAAGCTTTCGCGACGCTGTTCTTCTGGGGTTCTTTCGCGGGGCTTTCGCGAACCTTTCGCGACCTGCGCTTTGGCTTTCGCGAAAGAATGTAAGATTACAGTTTGCACACTTTTCATCATAGAGGTTTTTGAAGCTGCTCACTTGTTTTCGCACAGTTTCCTCCCCTAAAGTAGACAAAAGGTCCCGACTCCCGACCACTTGCTACGCTGCTGCAATCAAACGAAATTTGCATCATAAACGTCTTCGTGACTCGAACTGAGCTTACTGACATCTTCCTCCTGGAGGTGCCACCGGGCAGCAGAATGTGCTTCCAAAATGTGTTGCCCTTAAGTGCATTGTGCATTGCCAGTGCTAATTGATGAGTGCGCCCAAAACACCTCCATGCCGTGCTCACCAAAGCCTCGTCTATCTTTCCTGCTGGCCGGCGTGCGACACTAGACTGCTGACGCAATCGAAAGATTCCGAATGCATCCGAAACTTGGCAGAAGGGGTACGAAGCAACTGAAGCAGGAATGAATGCGAAAAATCAGTAAGCCGTAGTAAAGTCTAATCAAATGAATGAATACCTGCCTCCACTGCACGGAGTAGGTAACAAACTCAGCAGGGATGCCAGGCCATGAGAACTCCAAAGCCTGGCCATTGCTATTGATGATACAGTATCCCATGATCAAGACTCTTTGGAAAAACAGGTAAGCCAATGAGAACACCTGAATAGTGAATCATAGTCGATCTATTTTGGCATCGTATAGCACATAGGCACATAGTATGGCATAGCCTCGAGGTACACCATTTCCACTTCAATTTGGCTCCACCCTGGTGAGCTCCGGAAAGGCTTCAGCAACTTTTGTACCGCTCTGGTGACCTTCTCTGAGCCACGAACGTGGAGCCGGTCTTTCAGCCCTTTCAGCCTTAAGCTGCGTTTCTCCTAATTCTGAATGTCTACGCGCAAAATACAATGATTTAAAAAGAAACATATTATGATATTACTTTATTTATATGGTTTGTGTATCTATATATATGGCAAGTGTTGTTTGGTAATGTGGTGTGTTAAAAGTTGATGTCCTTTTCTGAACTAAATATCGCACAATATGTTCTGGACCTTCACTAAGACCTGGACAGAACTCCCCAAGTAAACCTGAAGTGTGCAAGGGACCATCTCTAGTTACCGGTTCCTTCCTCACACACAGTGACTGCTCCATTTGTGTTGCTTTAAGTTGGATGCCCATCCATCTTGGAAGTCACCATCCAAAAAGCCCTGACCCTGCAGGCGCAGCAGAACAGTTGACAGTTTGTCAGTTTGTCTGCCTCTTTCTCATCGAACATGGGTGAAGTTTGACAGTCAAGGCCAAAGTCACAGAACAAAAGCAACGCGGCGGCAATCACTTCTGAAGAATTGCTGGCCTTCAGGCGACTTATTTCTTGTCCAAATATGTGAAGCCACTCTCCTGGGCAGCAAACTTGAAAGGGACTCAGTTGCTTCGAGCCTGAAGTCCTAAGGGGAACTGCCGGTGTCTGTGACTTGGTGTGCTGCCTGCTGGGTAGCCCTGAATGGTTCCTTCTGGCAACCTGGAGTGTCCAAACGAAATGCCACTAATACTATGATAACTAAACAAAATCAAAGAAGAAAAGAATCGTCAATTGGTTTCAGTGTGCCAGTGTGCATTGAAACTTCTGTTCGAAGCGGCTTTAGCCTTCCGACGTGTTCAGCCGTCGAAGTTGGTGCAAGAAAGACTGGAGGTCCCTGCACAAATCAGTGATATTACACATAGGAAACAATAGCCGTATTGCAGCAGGGTATGTGGCATGTGAATATCATCAACCTGTCCTGTCCTTTCCTGGATGTCGCTCAGTTTAGCTTGTGCTACAACCGCAAATGCCACCATGTTGAAGCCTAACTCTGAAGTCTGGAGGCAAAACTCACCAGGAACAAATGTTTGCCAAGAGAAGAAGGAATCTATTGGAAGAAGTACAAATACTATACCGGGAATGATGAAAAAAGCTCCGTATGTGCAATGCGAAGACATGAGAGCTTTCAATCTTTAGAGCATGCGCCCACCTTTGCAACCGTCCTATTCGGCCTTTCAGTGGAGGGTACAAGTATACATCGTGGAAATTGTTATCATCTTATGTCTACCAGTCTGATTTATTCTGCCTTTTGTCTCACCTGCTGGTTTCACCTTCTCAAATGTGCATTTGTCTCTACGACAGACCGACACCACCAAGCCGCTGTACGTGGTCAAATAGAGACACCATTGCACCACTTCAGCAAACGGACCAAACAACTGCTTCCAATACTGGTCTTGAAGATTGACCAAAACGAAAAATGCACATTCAAGTGTTTTGAACGTTTCGGAGTTCTTCGTGGCTAGAGTTCCATGCAAGCACTAGTTTAAACAAAATGGTCGGCCGTAGCATGATCTAGGCTAGCTGCAATACAGAGCCCGTCCTCGCAATCACGCAGAACCTCAAACAATGCAACTAACCAAAAAGTACAAAACATGAGGCCATGCGGTTGTCATTTGTACAAATAGAGCAAAATGCTGAGATTTAAACATCGTATTCGAGTGGCAGGTGTATCACCTCTGATGAAGCCAGAAACATCAAGACATCACTAAGCATCACGGCCCATTGCCTTCTCCAGATTCTTCGCAAGGGTCTGGCAACTCGTAGGTTGATCTGTGCCCATGGACACCTTCGATTTTGCATCGCACAAGCCAAAGCTGAGTGCAGAATCCAGTGGTTAGCTATCTGCTTTGCAGAACCAGTTGAAGCGAGCCTTGCAGCACCATTGTATTCCATATGAATCATCGGGAGGGGGAAAAGTAAATAAACACAAAACGGGGGACGAACAGGAACGCAAAAGAAGCAACAGGGTGAGGAAGACCTAGCATGTTGATAAAGGCCGGGCCAGAAATGTGCCCGCTTTCAGTGACGAAGCATTCGGTGACGAGACTTTCGGTGATCAAGCTTTCGGTGACGAGCTGGTTGACACATGGTCAGGAAAAATGCCATGCCTTTATTGGGCCAAGTTCTTGACTAGATTTCTTCGATGGTTGTTGTTGATGTCAAACTGATCTACTTGACCACTTTCTCTGTGTTTAAGCATCAGCATAAGTTTCGAGTAGCCAGTGGGCGTTTGCCTACTCGTCTTGCATGTTCAGTTCTAGGTATGAGCGAGTTAGAAAGGAAAAGGATCTGGTGCATGGGATCTTGAGGGTCTGCTCGGATGACGTGTCCTAAGAGCTGAATCTTTCGTTTCAACCATAATCTTGAGAATCCACAACTGAGACCCCATGATGGTCTTTGAGAAGCTCTTTCACAGCTGCACACCTTCGAATGAGGGAACGAAAACTGTTGCCTCCAGTACATGCCTTGAGCTGCACTTGTGTGTGTGGGTGTGTAGATTAACATGTGTGTGTGAGATTGCAGCGTAGCTGTGTAAAGGTGCGATTTTTACTGGGGTCAGTTGACTCAGGAAAAGTAAGGTGAGATGACATAG